TTAAAGGTCCATTTGTATATTTTGCGGGACTTGGAGAAAACTAAAATTTTTGATTTCAGATAATTTAAATGAAGTTTGTTAATGGATAAATAGTCCAGACCTTTGTTAATTAATCTTTTAAGGCCCAGCCGAGAGCGCGAAATAAGTACAGCGTCATCGGCATATAAAAGGACTGGGATCTTGCGATCTCCAAGAGTTGGAAAATGACCATCGACAGTTAACAGTTCTGGAGCCAGATCATTTAGGAACAGGTTGAATAAAGTCGGGGCCAATGGGCAACCTTGCTTGACTCCCTTATTTGTAGGGATCGCTTCCGTAAGGAGGCCGTCCCAAGAGCATCTTATTCTGCAGGAGGTGTTAGAGTACAGTTGCCTAATGGGGTTAATCAGATTGGAAGGGATTCCGGTTTTCTCCAGCTTGGCCCAGAGTAGCTGCCTGTCAATGCTGTCAAAGGCCGCTTTTAAGTCTAGGAAAGCTACAAATAATTTTGAATTAGCTTTTATGGAGTACTTGTAAGCGAGATGAGACAGGACTGCACAGTGGTCCAAGGTGGAGTGGCCTGGTCTGAACCCAATCTGTTCAATACCTAGGATGTTATTCTCAGTGATCCAAGTGTTAAGATGGACCAAAAGATAGTTGGCGTACAGCTTGCCTGCTATTGAAAGAAGGCTGATTGGCCTAAATTGCAGACATTAATGACTTTGAAGTGACCTCAGTGGCATGGCGAGCAGCCAGAATCTGGTGCCGGGCAACATTCAATGCTTCAGTATGAGTATTATGCAACGAAGATTTCGTCTCATCAGGGGCCGCCTGCAGGATGGGTAAAACCTTGCTCCAAAGTTGTGTTTGGTAAACCCCTAACGCAGCTTGATAATTTGACACCCGCAAAAGGAATGATGCGAAAGAATACAGTTGGCGTCCCACGACATCAAGCTTTCTTCCCACATGATTTGTAGGGGTTACTTTGGTTTTAGCTCATGTCTTGGACATACTGGTCTGTATTATGATCGAAGTGGATGCTTAGAAAGAAATAAGGTGTCACTGCCATGCTCCCTGTACTGTCCTTCCATCATTCTAGAGATTTGCATAGACATGGAAGGTAAGTTCCATGTTTCCTTAATAATGTCCATAATGACAGGAATGAATGCCAGGCTGAGAGGATGTGACTTATCTTGGTCGATGTCACCAAAAACAAGATCCTGCTTAGGACGTGGTGGCTGCTCCACATCAAGCTGTAGAGACTTGGCCATATGAGTGATAATTTGTGCATAAGATGTAAAATCCGTGGAGGGCGAGGGTGGACACAAGTCTCCAACATCTGAGTGAGGCGTGTTAATATTAGGAGGTGTTTGATGCATCAGACAAAATTCCCTCTTTGTGATCTGAGGCAAAAGAGTCCAAAGAGTCTATTGGGGAGAGATAGAGGGTGAAGGAGCTAAATGATGTCTTTGAAACCTTAGCGGTTGCTTTTGATGATTGACTACTTTGAGGTGGAATAATCTGAGGTTTGGTTGCTTGAGCCGAAGCCGTATCAACAACAGTACTCTTCCTCGACCTGATAACTATCTTTGAAGAAGGGTATCATTCAGAGTCTCAACGTTGAGAAACCGTGGACACCGAAGCCTCGACGTCAGAAGATGGTCAGTGTCGATGTCTTGGTGGCGAGGGTGATGGTGAAGAAGCAGCAGCATAAACATATTGAATCCTTTGTGTATGTTATAACCCTCGATGTCATAGAGGAGTTCCTTTGATGGACGACTTTGATGACATTTTGATTTCCATTTGACCTTGATGTAAATTGGGTCATCGTATTCTGAGGAAGCTCAATGTTGAGAGCTTCTTGGCAAAACCAGAACCTCAATTTGAGATGCTTGATGTCAAGGAGGTGAAATATGCTTTCTCTTATCAGTTCTTTTCCTTGGGAGAGAACAATGCATGGATTCCTCTGAATTCGATCGCCTTACTACAATCGCTCGCCTAGGTACGAACAGGGCTAGAATGGGCAGAATCATGGCTGGATATAGTCTCAGCCTGTATGCGATCAGGAGATTGAGGGAAGTTTAGTAGCAAAGCCGAAGCTTGTGACACTTGATGTCGAGCAGAAACATCCCCCTCGAGCGGTCCAAGGGTCTGATACACGAGGGGGGAAAATGACAGAATGAAGAGCTCTAGCAACGAGGTTCCAAACACGACGGCGGCAGAAAGGAATTGAGGCTCTGGGCTGGTGGAGCATGCGCAATAAGAGCAATGTACTACTATGTTTCTTTATCTTAAGCTCTAGAATATTCCGAGGAACCAGCGCAAGTGCAGTTTATACCCAATTGTATGGATGCACAGAGGCCATGTAGAAGAATGATGGATTCTCTTTCACTCAAGAGTTTTTTAACATAGGGTGGATGCCCATGCTGAAGCTGGTGGAAATACATGTTCTTAGACATCTCTTCCAACTACACCAGGGGTCTCAAACATGTGGCCCGGGAGCCATTTGCAGCCCGCTGGATGATAGTTTGTGGCCCCCATCTTGCCTGAAGCGCTCATGCGTTCTTTGCTGTCAAGAGTAAAAAAAAAGCCTCATCTCACTCGCTGGCCGTCTCCCAAGGCAGCACCTCTTGCACCCTCCATCCGGAACTGTAGCCTGCCAGCCAGTCTGCCTGTCTGCCAGCTAGCAGGCTGCAGTTCCGGATGGAAGGTGCAAGAGGCACTGTCTTGGGGGAAAGCTGATGAGCGAGGCGCACTGCTGACCCTTTTCCCCGAGTACCCAAGCTACCGCTGAGCAATGCCTGAGAGCGGAGCTCGCTCTCAGCCCATCCTTGAAGAGCGCCTCCAAGCCGCCAACAGCAGCTGCCGCCGCCGCCACCTCTTCCAGGAAAGTGGTTCTCTGGCTTTCTTTCTCTCTCGGTACCTCAGCACCTGGCAGTGCTTTTCCTTCTCCTCCTCGTCCTGCTTCAGCCGCCTCGGCTCTGGAGGCTACCTGGGCTCGCCTCACAAAGTTTGTTCCTCTGTCGTGTGGGGGGGTAGCTGCTGCTGGCGAGTGCGCCTTTTTTTGAGGGGGCCCTCAGAGGAAGGTTGCTGGACCTGTGTGTGTGTGTGTGTGCGCGCGTACATGTGGGGGGCCATCCCATTCTGTTTAATTTCATGGGTACCGATGGGGGCTTTTCTCCTTTGGCAAGGCAATTCTGTGAGGGTTTTTTTTAAAAAAAAAATGTTGTGCCCTCTCCCCGCTAGGCGGTTGCTGGCACACCCTCCCTTCTCCGCTTCTTTGTCCTGCTGCTGCTGGTAATGAAGAAGGAGCTGGAGGAAGTCATGGCTGGCGATGAGGGCCCGCACGCCCCTCTTCCTCCTCCGAGCCCCAGCTGAGCAAAGGACTCCTGGGCGGCCTCCCCAGGCTCTTGCTCCACTTGGTGGAAAATCCGATGTGGCCCAGCTTTACCCAGACTCTGCCTCCAGCGGCCCCCAGGTAAATTGAGTATGAGACCCCTGAACTACACCATTCTTTAATTCTGTGACTTTGTAACTGCAAAATTGAACTAAAATGTCTCGGAATGAGATGCTTCATATTTCAGCATGTTATAATATAACTAAACATGTTTTTGGCAAATGTGAGTGTCAGAATGCAGATTTTTCATATGGCAGGGTAAGCAGATAGATTTAAGGTGGACTAGAAGTAACTTGGGATTCTGAAACCACTCCCTGCCTACTTCTTTTCAGTTGTGCATGTAAAGAAACACAGGCATGTTTATTTTTACTTTCAGAGTTCAAGATTTTGTAAGTTGAAGGCTCTCTCTGTCCTCAATTTTATTATTACCACAGATTCGTAAGACTAGTGCAATACTCCCTTATCCTTATCTGAGGTAGTGCCCATATCAGTTTTGCAAGTGGCTTCATGGTAAAGTAATTAAATCAAAAATATTTTAAGCAGAACGACATGAGCATAATGTACCGTTTTCCCCCATGTATACGCCCCCCAATGTATAAGATGACCCCCAATTTTGACCCTTGCCGGAGACGGAGGAGCAGTCAATGGGCAGTCACGAGGGATGGCTGAACGCAGCTGCTCCTTTGACTCTGCCTCCTTCCGTGTATAAGATGACCCTCAATTTTTCCTGTAATTATTTTATGAAAAAGTGTTTTATATATGGAAAAATATGGTAACTTTGTACCAAAATTCACCTAATTGCTCTAGTAATACTAAACAACAGTACCTGGTGAGTAAATTGCAACCCGGTCAATTCCCCGGTCTTCTGCCTGTAATTGCCGTAAGAATACTCCAACAGAGTCTGAAATAGGCTTAAGTGTAAACTGGCAACGCTCACGACGAGATGGAAGATTCACAGAAATTACAGGTAACCCGTTTTGGTAAACCACTGTGACATCTAGAAGGAAACAAGATGGTGAAATGGAATTTTGTTACATTATGCATATGTACACGCACTTCAAGACACTCCAAACAGCCTGCTGTGTTTCGGTATCTTGAAGCCTAAAACACAAGTCTTTATGGACCTTCAGTGTAGTAGGTCCTCTAAGTCTTTTCCATACATTATTAAGTTCTTTGAAATTTCTTCCTTGAAGATCTGTTTTTCTTGTAACAACAATGTAGAGTAGGTTGGGTAACTTTTCTTTAAAAGAAAAAGTTACACGTGTTCCAGTAGGAGAAGAAAATGCAAGGATCGTACCCAAGATAAACTACTTCCCACAAAACAAAGATCCTTACCTAATTCTTCTTACTCTAGCATACATACTGTAAAGCAAAGAAGGAGTCTGCAGTTCTGTGAAGGGCAGGAGTACCACTAGGCAGAGGAAAGTGAATCCCCCAGGCAGCAGATATTGGGAGGCAGGGAGCTGAAGCAAAGGGATGGACAGGACATGTTTGCATAACACATGGTTTGCCCTGTGCTGTGCAAGTCACCTTGTTGATCACAGATGCACTGGAGGATACTGTCTTATCACCCATGCTGAGAGTAGAATTTAACTGAACATCTCATGGGAGGGGGAAAACTTTTCACTAAAATATAATGAGACAGCCTTAGTGCAGATCCTTGCACAGTAAGAACCAGACCTACCTGAAAGTAATGTTTTAACATGTATTATTTAACACAAGGTAGAATGTTTCACAGCATGTACAGGTCAAATGTTATGTCAAACTATGGTTTGATGTTAGATGCAGAAGACTCTGGCTTACAAATTCCCCTCTCTTGATGCTATGCTTTTCCTTACTTCTTTCCTTCATCTGGGAAAGGTATAGTTTGTGTAAACAGGATGAACTACGTTTTGCTGAAATAATTACTTCTCTCCTGACAGCTGTTGTTTCAAAGGGCATATGTCTTTAGGAACGAGGCTGCCTCACGCTGACAGCCTTCTGTGATGGAGAAGCTCTGAAGGACAGAACTGGGCTGGCTGTCCTGATCTGTAGCTTCAAAGACATGAGGAAGGGGCTGTGGCTCTCCATGAAACTTGAGTTAATGTCCTTGCTGGATTTTTACTCTACGTTCCTCATCCCCACTTTATGCTGCATGAAAGCATACATATGAACAGACCGTTCCTTCTCTACCTTTTGGTGCTTTCTCCCCTCCTCTTATATTAAAAAATACCTATATTTACAAACAGCGAAAGTCTGCTGATACCTCTCCCTTTTTTACATGGATGGAACAATGTTTGCAACATAAACAATAGCACTGACATTTGATTGTCAGAAACAGAGGAAATTATATATAGGACTGTACTTGGGAGTCTACCAAAATTTTCAAATCAAATTTTATAGCAAGTGCTTGCTCTCACCAAATGGAAGAGTCTATTTCTTGTTTACATGCCACTGTTGAATGCCCTCTTGCTAACAGGTAGTTACAAACACTTGCTTTCTTTAGAGCAGTGTTTCACAATATTTTTGAGTCATGACCCCCCCCTTTTTTTATAATAACTTGTGACTCCCTGACAGATTTGCATAAAAAGGCATTTTTAATAGGGTAAAGAAATCACATTACAAACAGATATTGCAGAATATAATTCTAACTTAATAATTCATGTGATGGTTCTACTTGCATATTGGCAACCAGCCTTGACATCTGTGGCTGAATGTATGTTAACGCCATTCACCCTCCTCTCCTGACAGTCCCACAATGGGATCTGTGAGATGGAGGTAATGAGGGTGGATTAAAATTGTGTTTCACTGGGGGAGGGTGAGTTTTCCATCAGGAAGAGAACCACTGCCCCTTTTGCTCTCCCTTTAAGCAGTGGCTCCTACTCCTCCTCTTTAGTGCGCACCTGAGGTGAGGAGGGGTGAAATCATTTTAGTAGCCTTTTCTTTCTCCCCCAGCATTTCTCTCACTCCACATCCAGCCTGCTGCTGCCTCCTTGTCTTTCAACCCCCATGTGGCAGGCCTGGCTTGCAAGGGGCGCCTTGTCCCAGGGCCCTGTCCGAGCTGGCCAGCTAGCCAGCCCTCAGAGCCAAGGAGAATTTGCTACTGGAGAAGGGAGAGCACACAGCCAGGGGGCCCTGGGCATCCAGCAACCCCACAGCGGGTAGTGAAGAGAGTTTGTCTTGTGGGGGATACAAGTGAGGGAGGGAGCAGGCAGAAAGGAACCTGGATTGGGGGGGGGGTACAAGTTGAGGGCAATGGATCTCTCTCCTCTGAAAACTGCATGATGCCCCCCCAGAAAACACAACCCTTGGTGGCTGCGATCCACAGGTTGGGAACCTGTGCTTTAGAGAAAGAATATTATTCTGACCTTGTCCACATTCCTGTATATAGTGCTCTCTTACTCACAGGAAATTGCAAGTTCTTAATTAGAGAGACAGGAGAATATTTTGATCCCATTCCTTGTTTCTAGTCCTCTTGGAGAATCAAACCTTTCAAATGTTAGTCTGCATAATGTTCTAAATGGCTGTTGCTTGCATGTTTCTCCTTTTTTCTATATATCAGAATCTTTTTTTCCAGTTGTTTACTGCCCTGTCTGTATGGTTCATAAAGAAGGACTTGTACCTAGGTTAAATGTTTTCCTGTCTTTATAAAGAAAATATATTGATATTCAAGACAAGAACTTTTAGCTGGCCCATATGCCACCACTTTTCTTGTATACATACTTCTGTACTGTAATGTGCAACGCTACCACAAAAACTCTGACGAATAACATAAGCAGTAGCTAAACAAAACTGCAGGAAGCAGTAGTATCCAGGCTTCCAGTCTAGCAAACAGCTGTTCAATCACACTGCTAGAGGTGCTTCAACTCCCTAGCAGCTGGTTCTAGGACAAACTTGGGAAGTTAAAGTAACAGCAATTAGATTCAGCATATAAAAAGTAAAGCTCATCTCAAGTTCATTATATACCATACACCCTGATCTAGAAAGAAAAAAATGGGAAGCAAAAATGCCTGACCTTTCATCATCAACAAACTTTCTTGATTTGAAAAGCCACAATGGGACAATAACTTTATGAGGAACAGCCTGAATGTCAGAAAACATTGCACTGGTTAAGTATTACACAGAATTAGAAAGCTTACTGTTTTCTGACATTTGGTTTGGTCTTATCGAAATCATTCTCCATTTGTGGATCTTGTAGGTTTCCCCACATCCTACGGACCAATAAAATTACTTTTCATTTTTATGTGACTTCCCGTATATGCTTCAGTACTAAAGCAGGTAATTTCAACTTTCTCTCTTCAAGTAGGAACATATTTTTTAGCAAACACCAAGGACCAAATGACAATAGCCATCTTCAATAAGTGATTCGTTAGATCAAAGTCCTTCTACCGTTTGGATAAAGAGAGTCTATTTTTTCCAGTTTTAAAACCTGCTCATCATAAAGGAATTTATGGTGTAAGTCTAGGAAGAAATGACCAAAACGTACTTCATTTTAATTCACCAATTATGGGTTTTTTTCTCCTTGAGGCCTTATTTCAACAAAGCACTACTAGAATGTCTTCCCAATATTTCAGGAACAAGCAAAAGACTTCTTCCGTGGTTTTAAAAGGCTTTATTATTTATTACAATAGGTTCTCAAACCCACTTTAAATTTTTTAAAAATTTAAAATGGGTTTGAGAACCTATTGAAATAGCACTTTAAAATACCTATTATTTTAATATACTTCAAAAAAAATAGCTAAAATCTTCTTGCATAACTTATGCTGGCCTAAACTATATAAAAAGGATTTTGTTCAACATAATATAACACGAGATGACATGACATAAAGGGCATGACCATCAGCTTATTTTGGTACATAAAGGAATATGAAAAAAAGTTTCCACCTGTCCCATCAGTGCAGTAACTGCACATCACCTTACATTATATATCCATATAGAAAAGAATATAGGCTGTAAATTCAATGTAGACACACATATACAAAACCAGGCACACATATACAAAACCAGGATCCCTATTTATTGTAACAGTCTGAAGAACATAGCAACATTTTAGACACTAGAATTCATGTACAGTATAATCTTCAGGGATTCGGATATCACCTCTAGAGGCCAATGAAAGTAAAATAGTACCAATTCTACAACCTCTATAAATTAAACCTGCATTTATGAAACAAAAACAAAAAATGGGAATAAAGGCAAAATTCAGCATTATTATTTCAAGTTAGTTTTTGGTGGAGAATAACAAACAAAGCTACATAGGACTCTCTTGAAAAGGAAATCTGAGTAACCTTCAAGGTTACATGCTTGACCTTGAACAGTCCTAAACTAAAATGGTATTTGGGAGGGGAACAACAAGTTCCATGAAGTAATGAAGGACAAATAATCACAAAGAGAAATCTATTGGGCGAAGGTGCGAGAAAAAAAGGCAGCTGACCTAGAATGTCCATGCACATTTTCTCTCAAGTGAGTTCAGCCGGTAGATAGTGGCAGGTATGGACACATTCAAACAAATTCTTCTCATCATAATTCATGTTGCTTCTGTCTAGAATGCAAATTTGCTTGCTATGCTTTCAATCCAACACACCTAGTTTTCAGTCCCTACTTAAAGCAAAAGAAAAAAAATACAATGAAAAACCCAACTACCGAGCTTTCTAATATCTATTATTAAACAATTTATTTATTGTACTACTCACCATCAGAGGGCACTACAGTACTGCAGTAGACCACCCGTGTGGTCTGCCAGGGAGGAAGCCTTTGGTGTGCCTAGAAAAATGAACAGAGCTAAGTAAGATTGATTAATAAACTAGGTTATTTCAGATAACCCATGCCAGGATAGCCATCTAACAACATCTTACTACCTGCTGCAGGGAAGATGTAATCAAGAGAACCTTTCATAAGCAGTTATGTTGCTGCCATCTGTCAGTCAGTATGACAATCCTTCGTGAGCCAATTCTTGTACCTTAAAAATCTTGCTCATCAGATTTGGAAAGGAACATAGAAATCATTTGGAGTCATGAAATCTTTATGCAGCATTTTTGCCAAGCCGTTCAAAAGGGTCAACATTATACAGAATCAAAGTGGGATTCCTTTATGAACCCCAGCCAGCAGTATTAAACTTACTGTTCTATATGAAACATTTTATACAAGCAAACTCTGCAGAAACAGGAGTAAGGAAACATAGTTCGGAAGAGAATGTGAAAAAATGCAGAAGTATTAAGACAGGCTATTTTTAAGTGCAGATCAATGTATATCAGCTGGGCATTTCTGTCTTAAACGATTCTGTCTGGAAACCCCTCTGAAACAACAGAATTTATGAACTTTTAATATCACTTCATTCATTTATGATGAATTATGAGTTTTACTCTGTTAAAAGCACAATGCTGCAATTATTAAATGAAATTAACCCCCACTTACAAAAGATCTAGACAAGGAATTCATTTGAAATCCCTGTTGTATTCATCATCATCATCATCATCTACTTAATCTTATTGCAAGAAACACACACACTCAATACCACCAAACCTGATCAGCAGCATCTGCCATCAAAATCCTTTTTGCGAATTTCATCACCACCTATGTGCTTTGCCGAAAACATACACATAGAAAATCCTGTGAAGCGTGACCATCAGTATAACTGTAATAATTCTGATTTTATAAGGTAACCCCTTTCCGAGACTTACAACTGGACCCCTCTCTTAAACTTATCCACTAAAGCAAGAATGAAGAACATTATGAAAAGTGCTTACTTGCCAGTAAAAAAGTTTAGAATGGCGGTATGAATTAATACACAAAAATAATTGTTTATAGGAAACTTATAGAAAATAAACATATATGTTGGGCTGAACCTGTACCAATAGCACTTCCCATGTCTTTTTTAATAGTACAGACATTAATGTAAGTGAAAAAGAAAATAAGTAATATACATTGGCACCAACACTATATTTTGAAATATTTTCCATCTGTTGTTCTGCTTACATCTGAAATGGTAACTGAATGGGCTTTATTCTCTAACTTAAGAAGTAGCATCTGCAATCTTCCAGAGGCTTTCACTTGTCCATGAGATTAGGCCACTTGTGTGAGCAGTTTGTTACAGAGGTCAGTCAACTGCAGCAATATCTTCTTGAACTGAGTCAGCAAGGGATTTTCTAAGAAAAAGTTAGCTATCCATTGCTTGAGCCACGTAAGATCATCTTGCTGCTTTGCAGTAAGATATAGATTAATTCACTGTCGCTTGGAAAAATGATTTTCTCTCTTCTATTTCTTAACCACAACATACAGGATATTGCCAAAATACACCACAATTAGCAAAATTACCACACCAAATTTATATTAGCTCCACTGAACTGTATGAGCTACCATGCAGCTTAATGCTCCTTGTATGTCAGATGATTTTTCTTCCGCATTTATGCTGCTTTGTGGGCTTAGGAACAGATGCCAATGGATATGATTCAGTATTGTGGTGCATTTACTCTGATTCCCGGAACTGATATTTCAAAAAATGATAAACAATTCTGCCTTTTAGTGGAGCTCTGGAGCATCAACGTATCCACTGCCGTATGGGTTGACAAGCACATGAGTATTTTCCTTAAGGAAGTTTGTTATTATGAGTAGGATGTAGTTTATTGTTTCAGCAGGGCTCCCAAAGCCTTAACGAACAACAATATGTTTGCTCTTGGAACAAGTGGCAAGAAGAGGTACTCATAGGCAATGGCTGGCTTTGACACAAATGGGTTCCCATGCAACTCTCTGACTTGCATACTTTTTTCTAAAAAAACAAAACCCCAAAACATGATGATTAAGACTTTTCCGTCTTTTCTCAAAATTCTTTTTTATACCATTTCATAGAAAAACCATACAGTAGTTGTAGAAAATTCAATGCAGAAGTGTACAGTTTTATATGACTGGTAGTAAAAGCAATGCATAAATTTTAGGACATAATTCTAAACTTTTTAATCAAGTAACCTTTTAGTTAATCAATCTATTAATATTTTTAAGACCCGATTTACTAGCATCACACAATAATTGTGGTCCAAATGTTTTTCATATAGTATTTACTTGTAAAGCCTCTGCAGTGGTAGAACATATTATAGAAGGCTATATATATTGTTGCACTAAACAATGGGGCAGTGAATAAATAAAGTATTGTCCCCATCCATACTATTTATTGCATCTGTCTGTGGTATTCTACGATTTGCTGAAGTTCGTGAAGGTAAAAGAGCTCTGGACTGCATCCTACCCAAAAAGGGTTTTCTCTTATGTCTTGTTTCATTTTGACTGGTGTAGTAAAGGTAAAGGTTCCCCTTGACATTTAGTCCAGTCATGTCTGACTCATCCCCGTCTCTAAGCCGTAGAGCCAGCGTTCGTCCGTAGACAGTTTCCATGATCACGTGGCCAGCGCAACTAGACACGGAACGCCGTTACCTTCCCACTGTGGTGGTACCTATTTATCTACTTTTTAAACATTTTTACATGCTTTCGAAGTGCTAAGTTGTCAGGAGCTGGGACAAGCGACAGGAGCTCGCTCTGCCGCAAGGATTCAATCTTACGACTGCTTGGTCTTCTGACCTTGCAGCTCAGAGGCTTCTGTGGTTTAACCTGCAGCACCAAAATGTCCCATTTGGTGTAGTAGTACAGGGAATTATTTATGTAATCTAAGGAGACATGCAATATCTATAATTTAACCTCTATCTGTGGAGAAGAATTAGGCTGCAGACAGCACCCCTGCCTCTCAAACTTTTTTTTGTAAAAAAGACACCTTGTGTGCCCTTTAGGTGATATGAGGAGAAATTCTGTCATATTTTCAATGTCTTCATGCCCACAAATGTTTGGACACTATGTGGCACAACATGGCCTTTTCAATTAGAAGACTAATATTTTATATTAAACCTATTTTTCTTTTAATAAAACCTATAGAAACCTTTAAGGTACATTTTTAAACAGCACTGCATCCAATTTTTTAAATGAACAATTAAATATGCAAGATCAGCATCTTGCTACATGACCCTCCTCTCTCTTTTAGCTCCGTCTTCTTGAGATTGTGGCCTTTGGCTGCTAGCAAATCTGAAAAATAGTCCTCAGTCCTGCTAAATTCATTTATCACTGTTGTGATAACATCTATTAACTGGATGGAAAGCATCAGCCAGCATTTTATAAAGTTTACCAACTACCAATGTAGATGTTACTGACTGAATTGCTACCATTTTTTCCTTTTGATCAATTACTCCATGCAGATACATTTTATCTATGGCTAACTTTTCCTAAATCATGGTTCAGTATTACATTTGATTAACTACTGCAGGGTCAAGCTGTGGCTGCACACTAGGATGTAAAATCAAGTCCAAAGGGAGGTTGCAAAGTATACTTTGCATTACATTTGATTAACTACTGCAGGGTCAAGCTCTGGCTGCACACTAGGATGTAAAACCAAGTCCAAATGAATTCAACCGAGTGCTCACTGGAAGGACAGATCCTGAAGCTGAGGCTCCAATACTTTGGCCATCTCATGAGAAGGGAAGACTCCCTGGAAAAGACGCTGATGTTGGGAAAGTGTGAAGGCAAGAGGAGAAGGGGACGACAGAGGATGAGATGGTTGGACAGTGTCACTGAAGCTTTCAACATGAATTTGACACAACTCCGGGAGGCAGTGGAAGACAGGAGGGCCTGGCATGCTCTGGTCCATGGGGTCACAACTAAACCACGACAACAAAGTGCTTATATCAAACATAGTTTCATTTCCTTGCATTTTCAACATGCAATGCAGAAGCAGTTTCACATGGCAAATTAAGTTCTGGTCTCTTGGTGCATTTGGACTCTTAAACAGAATTGAAGCAACTAGTCATGGGTTATAAATGATGCCTGTACTAAACAATCTATGGTTGTTAAAACGGATACTGTGCATAGAAAGATGCAATGGTCAACTAACCGCTGCATTTTACTACCCAATTTTATGGTGTGTCTTAAATATTTTAGCAAATAAATCAAGGCATTAGGTTTGTATAAGGAACAGGTACAACAATCCTCTCCACTCAGAATGAAGAAATCCAAAATGTAAATCAATTTGTGAACTTTGAGTTCATAAAACATTCCATATGGACACAACTTCATACAACCATATTTTTTTGTTTTAGATAAAATCTACTGCTGGGGCATTTACTTAAACATATACTGAAGGCCAAGAGATGATCAGTTCCCACTGACTATGTAAGAAGATGAAAGGGTTTAAGGAGAAACTGAAGTATTTTACATGATGATGATGCAGATCCAATCTAGTGAAAAATAAAAAAAATCTAGTCATGTCTGAACCAGAAAATGAGACAATTGGCTGCTTATGGCTGAAAAGACAAATCTTTCTTCCAGCTCTTCACTGTGAAATAAAAATCAATTTTTGGCTTTGACATTCAATGCCTCAAAACCTGTTGGCCACAATCCCAGTAACATTATGGGATCGCCATAAGCGTTCCTAAAACAATTTCAGTGCCTTTAGCTGTCACGTAAGTATTGGGCTAAAGTACATGCCACCTTAGCCTTTTTTTTTATTTTGCACTTTCCAATCTTAAGAAATGACAGATTATATTGTATACTTGAACAAATCATGCAAAGGCTTTCCAAAATGAATAATTACAATTAAATACTTAATCACTACTAAGCTACATTCACTTTAGCAAGGTCTAAGCAGGGATGGGAAGCTTTGACTGTCCGCATTGAAGAGATGAACCTTTAACTCCACAAATTGTTTTAGACTCCAACTCCCAGAATCTCTAGCA